ATATATATATATATAATATTAAATATAAAAATGCAAAATATATACATTAGCTCTGACCAGATATAAACAAATTACTTTTATATTTTCTTCTCTTGTAAATAGTTATTTTTTTATTATGATATTAATAAGAGTATTTATTGATTTCGTTGAAAATTAATAATCTTAGTCATATTAAGATTATTCTTTTTAACACGTTTTTTTATTAAACTTAAAGACTCAAATTCAAGAGTAGTATCTGATAATAAACGAAAAAAGAGAATATGAAAAGGTGGTACTTTTATTCAGAATAATAGGAGCCATTTTAAAGGTAACAATTACATATTCATATTAAATTCATCATAAAGAGAAATAATTCAAAATTTGTAACTATCATTGCAGTAAAGCAATACACTTATTAACAAATTAAAACAGAGTTACAAAACATAAAGTATCAACAGACTTTCTCTTAAACGGATGTTTGCTAACATTCAGTTTAAAGGCTTCACAAAATTTAGCGTGCAGACCCTAAGAAACCTTTTGTGCTTCATGAATGACTCTCTCTTGAGTGCCTTGGTGAAAATATCAACAACATGATCTTCACTCCGATAATAAATCAATTTAATGGCTCCATCATTGCTCAGATCTCTTAGAAAATAGATCTTGACATCAATGTGTTTGCTTCTTCCATATAGTACTGGATTCTTTGAAAGTTTGATTGCTGAATTATTGTCACAAAATATCCTAGTAGCCCATGTTGCTGGAATTTCAACTCTTCAAGGATTCTCCTTAGCCATATACCTTGACAAGCACAAGCAGTTGCTGCAACAAATTCTGCTTCTGTGCTTGATAAAGTAACAAAAGGTTGTTTTTTAGAGAACCAAGAGACAACGCTTGTGCCAAGCATGAAAAGAAACCCCGAAGTACTCTTTCTATCATCTTGATCTCCTACATAATCACTATCAGTGAATCCCAATAGATTGGACTTTTCACCTTTCTTGTAAAATAGTCCAAACTCTCTTGTTCCTTGCAAGTAACGAAGAATTCTTTTAGCAGCAAGTAAATATATTTCTGTAGGATTCTCCATGTACCTGCTAATCAGACTTACAGAATACATTATATCTGGTCTAGTTGCAGTTAGATACATTAAGCTACCCACAATCTGTTTGTAAAGTATTCCTTTCTGTTTACATTCAGCTAGCTCTGCTTTAAGCTGTTGAATGCATGGCCCATTCGCTATTGAGAAAAGTTCCTTGATATCTGTCCATAGGTCTTGAGCCACCTCCATATGCGATATAGTTGAGCGGAGAGTCGGTTCAATAGTGTTCATTATCCATGACACCAATAACGAGTTATTGGTCCACCAATCTTCAAGATCTGATGATTTTTCTGCTGGTTGTTTGATTTCTCTCCTTTCAATTGAACCAGCGTCAAAAGGCTTCCTGGATTGTCACTTATAGTGATGTCATAGGGTGAGATTGTCTTCCTTGCTACTATGTCTTCTCTGTTGTCTCTGTTCTTGTTGTCTTCCTCAGCCATGATGGCAGTGATAGCCCAGATAGAGCTCTGGTACCATATAAAGAAGAATTCGTGATGCAATTCTTGCTGTGCTTTATTGTTGTCCAGACATATATATGTATACATAGTGTTCAGGAATTGTTGCCTCAATTCTAGCTAATTACGAGGTAACTATTCCTAAATATAATCTGTACAGATTGTTATCCTATATTAACAGATATGACAAGATAATTATAGTAAATATGGAAGATATTAAATCAGTAATTACAGAATAGAAGATTCAGCAAGATCTCCATAATCCCGATTTCGTAAGATCTCCATAATCCCAATAGAATGATAATGAATTCAAAAGTAATGAATGTGATATTTGCGTATATTATAAATCAATAACACTATTTGCATCATTATTTGTCTATACATATATTACTTATTAATTTTCAATTATATTTTGAAATTTTGACAAGGTCCTAGGTGAACTTGAAATTAAAATTACTATAACTAAAAAAGAAATTTCTTTTAACCAATTCCATTAGATTAAGTAGATTTTCAAGAAATATAATTACTTTGATTGTAATTCAGCATATACATTCGTGATCCTAGTTTTCAAAAACACTAATGACAATATTAATCAATCTAAGTATGTGAATATAATTGGTAACACTTGGTATGTTGTCAATTGCACTAGACCAAATATAACTTATATTATGATGTTACGTAGCTTTACCAGCCATCTTATTAACGATCATTGGTGTGCTTTTCAGAGGATCATGAGCCTAAGATTACATTATCAAATTTTATTTTTGTTATATGGGATGAATACAATGATATCAATTAGAATACCCTTTCAAATGACCCTAAGGAAACCAATGATCACATTTTTTGCTTAATTGGGACAATGTCTTTAAGAAACTATATTAGTGCAATATATTATGAAGACAAAAATGTTAGTATTAAAAATTAATAATTACTAATGAAGAGACAAGAAGGTTGAGAACTTATATTTCCATGTGTTAACAATTCCTAAGTAGATTTTAAAGAAATATGATTACTTTCATTGTAATTCAGTATATGTATCTATGTGATCCTAGTGTTAAGTTGTTTAAAAACTCTAATGATAATATTAATCAATCTAAGTGTGCGAATATAATCGATAACACTCCGGTACGTTGCCGATTACACTAAACCAAATATAACTTATATTATGAGGTTACTATATAATCATTAATGTGCTTTTCAAATGATTATGAACCTAAGATTATTGTCATATGAGATTAATACAATGATGTTGATTATATACAATATCCTTTCAAATGACTCCAACATAAACAATGGCTATACTTTTGGTCTAATTGGAGACAAGTTTTAATTTTTAAGAAACCATGTTATTAGCACAATATATTATGATGACAAAAATGATAGTATTAACAATTACTAGTGAAAAGACAAGAGTGCTGATTCATTGTGATCACTGCTACAAATTTATTGTTCTACATCAGTACATCAGCCGTTAAAAAATTGATGTAAAATTTGAGCAGACAAAAACATTCGAGATTAAAATATATTTTTTTTAATTTTTATATATATTTTTTTCTCTATAATTTAAAACAATTTTTTTAGTATTTATATTTATCTTTTTCAATTTTTGCGAGTTTTTATTGTTTGAGATAGATTTTTTTTAAACTTTATACTAACATATCGTAAATTTATTTTATAATGTTATCTTTTTCGTGCTGACATTACAGAGGTATTAATTTAACTTTGTATATTTGATGTTAAATTTATTTTGTTAGAATTATTTTAAATTAGGTATCTTAATATTTTATGTCTTTTTTTTACCCGTACTTGTAATATCCATTGTTAATATACTTTTTTATCTTATAAAATTAAAGACTTTTATCATGTCAATACAAAATAAAACACATTAAAAAATTAATGATAGAAATTAAAAATTAGAAAATTTGTAAGTTTAAAGATTAAAATGATTTATCTCAAACTATTGAGGTTAAAAACGATTGAAAAAGATAAATATAAAAAAGAATATTTAAAAATAAAAACTAAAAGACTTGGTAAATGCAATTATAAGGACAAAATATATATTTTATCCTAATTTCAATAATTTACATCGATCAATTAATAATTTATTTATATTGTGAATTATTATATCGACTTAGGTTATAAATACTAGTGGGGTTACCACCTTTTGTGTCTCTATTATTTTTTTTATAAAAAATAATAACTTTGACAACAATGTGTAATATATAGATACTTAATAAAAAAATTCATTTTAATAAAAATATAATGCATAGTTATTAAAAGAGAACATCAATTACTAACAAATTATTAATTTCTTAATTTTTTTTAATAATAGAAGGATAAAATAATCTACCAAAAATGAAGACGAGAGGTTGTTAGTATAGATGGATTTGTATTAAGTTCATTAGTAAGTCAAAATATTAAATATTTTGTGTTTCTATTTATTTTTTTCATAAAAAAGTAATAATTATGAAAATAATTAGATAATTACTTGAAAAGAATAAATGATTTAAGGCAAAAAAAAATATTAAGATAGAAAGAATAATTTAGATTTTTAACTAGAATAAAAAGAACAAAATAATTCATATAAAAATAGAAATCAAAACAGATATTAAAAAGGATATATTTATTTTTCAATGTAATGGTATAGATAGATTTGCACCCACACACACGAAAAACATTTTCTTCCCTAGCATGTTCTTGATAAAATTCCTATCGTTACTATTGAGGTTTAGGGTAGTGTGCCTCTGTTTTGTATGGTCATGGCATGTAGTTACTATTGGGGTTTAGGGATTGAGTATCCCATAAGGCGTAACTTGCGGTTTGTTATTGGAAATAGTTAAGAGTACAAAAAAAAAGTTAACTTCCAAGGTTAATCTCATGGCTTTACCTAGAATTCTAATCTAGTTACGGTCCCTTTAATTTTTTACAACATTTACAGCATTACGGCGTTAGGATTACTGAATTTGGGAAACACATTGACGAATCTGATCGAGCTCTCCTCCTCACGAGTCACAACCGAGCTTCCTCATGACTGGTTTGTTTCTCTCTCTCTCTTTCTCTCTGTTTCTCTTTCAGTCTCTCTGACATGGTGGGATGAGGGCTTGAGGGGTTGCTGGGGTTAAAAGGCCTCTTTTTTTGGATGTATACACTGATGGGACATAGATTGGGTATGAGGGATGGGCTTTGTTGTCATGCCCACTTATACTTTCTTGGAAAACTTAAGCTCAACAATCTGTCCTAGCCTTGCCAATTGCATGTTATGTTTATAGTCTGTCTTCTAGGAAATAGGTTAGTAGTAAGCATCAGGAATACTTTTCGGTCTTTAACACAAAATATTGTGCATGATTATCTGTTCCACTACTTGCCCCAAAACTAGAGTTATGGAGTAGAGGGCTATGTGGGGTTAACTGGTTGTTATCTTGACGAGATGTTGCACGCATTATAATTATAAACTAACAAAAATGATTATTTACTGTGATAGTTATGAACTAACAACTAGCAGAAATGTAGGCTACTATATGGCACCAACTTGTCATTCATATTTGCATTTTCACTGCCTCATTTTTATTCTTTCTCTGTAATTCTTGCCTTTAATGTATTCAGTTTCCTATGCTGGTGACTCTAACTGAAGCTTTTCTTTTGTGTTTCATTTTTGCATAACTCTAGCAGGCCAATCTCTGAAAACCTAGCAATCCAGTATTCGGGCCTTCTATTTGTCTGTGGTAACCACTATAATTGAGCGGTTCTCTGTAAATTGATGTCTTCAATATGATTATATGAATGTCGCAAAACATTTGCTATATATTTACAATTCCGTTCCTGCTGTGTAGCTTTTCATCCTACGTCAATGGTAATGAAGGTCCATAAAAATGAGATACGCAACAAGCAGTATAGCATGACTGTATATCATTGCTAGGTAGTCTTTCAAGAAGATAGTTAGTTGATACAAAAAATGGACTAAGAATAAATTACACCCTAGGAATTGCATCTCTAACAACCAAGAAGTTTGGAAGGTTTGTAAATAAGCATTTTTTTATGCATATTTTAAAGTTTTATTATGACATGTGTATTACTGTAGCAAACCTTTTTCTGTTGTGAGGGAAGAAATAATAGGCTTTGAAGTGTGAACACTATTACATCTTTTATTTCCATCTAAAACTTGAAAGGCACAGTTATTCACTTCTGGATTTTACTGGATTTGTGTTTGCTGGAGTTAAGGGACTGCCTATGGGATTGGTAGATCAGCTAGTTGAGTACTTGAGTTACACCCTTGCACAGAAAAATAATACTGCATTATGTCTTTTTCTTGATGCTTTTGAGGACTAAATTAACTGATTTTCTTGTTGGTTTTAAACCTTGCTTCTGAATGCACCTTGTTGAAATTTAAGGATTGGGCCTGATTTGGGTGGAAAGGATGAAAGATATATGTGCATGTGATGTTGTGAATCTGCACACGTAAAACAGAAGTGTATGCTATATTGAAGAAACACAACTTAAATCACTCCTTTTAGATATAACAAGTCAAAGCAGTAGTGCCTTGGAAGAAAAGGATTGAACATAGACAAATAGACTTGAATCTAAGTTGACCAAGAGTTTTAAGCAAAACTAGTTGATTAGCCTACTTGCTATAGGTTTTGCTGGCCAACATGTTGCTGGCATTTTCTGTTTTAATCATTTATGTTTGAAAAATTTGAGCCATTTTTTTAGTTATTTTGTCCCCTATAATCTCATATAAGCTGATGTGTAAGTTGTTTGCAAATCAACTAATAGGGGTTGCCTTTGAAAATTCTAAATCTAGTTTTCCAATGTAGTGGCCAATTGAAAACCTAGCAAGCCAAATTTTGGGTGTGTCTACTTTGTGCATATAAAGGAATTAAATACACTTTGTGACATTCCTCATTCTTTTTTTAATCTTATCAGGTTCGTACTAAACAAAATTCCAGATAGAACATTTCAATCTTATGTTAATTGTTCATTGAAATCTGGGAAAATAGATATGATTTGAATAATTACTTAGTTCGTTAAATTTTATAACTTTTTTGCACTGTTGCAGACTCTTCTGTCATTACTTGCTTGAAAGGTTTCTGCTATAGCTTTACTTCTAAAAAGGTAACAACAGTAACCATATTAAATTTTTAGGCCTTCTATTTATCTATGGTAACAACTATAATTCCTTAAGAGTGATTATGTGTAAATTGATGGCTTCAATCTGATTATATGAATGTCGTGTATTGTTTGTCACTTGTTTTGTGAATCTGTACATTGTCTCTGAAGTGATATAAATTTTCTGTTTGTTCACTTAAAAGAAGAAAAATACTCTGATCAGTTCTTTCTAACTGAACTGCCACTAACACCTATATTTTTATGTAACTTAAAAAATTACCATCTTCATATTGATTTGGGTCTTTTCTCACCCTGTTAACTGTTGCTGCTGCAGTTGTGTTTGTTGTAGCTATAAGCAAGTCTTGGCAACTGCAAATTAACATGAAACCAAATTACCACTAATAGAAATAGGTCACATAAATTATATGAACCAGGTATATTGTGCATTCTAAGAATACCATTGACCGCAGAGAATCCTCATCCTTAGTGATCCTAGTTCCCTAAATTTGTTATAAGATAACCAATTAGTTAAAATTAAGGGTTAAGATTCAAAAGTTTTTCTCTCTAACTGTCAAGAATCCTCATGATTTGTTCTTGTATTCTCAATCTTCTTTAAAACCTCACGCAGATTCATATCAAGAGATTCAAAAACTAAACAAAGATGATTCCTTTATCTAAAACTTGAAGGGAAATAAACACAATGACACATATCATCTGGATCTGCACATACTAATTTCTTTAATATGACCAATTCATCCATACCAGCCTTGCACCTGTGCCACATTAGATATGTAACAATGAGAAAAAAACACTGCCTAAAAGCAACAATGACTTAAGTTTCTATTGGCTTAGCATTTCCCATCTTTAGATTCCTTTTCAATTCATCAATAGTAATGTAACAATTTTGATGGAAAATCCATGCTGTCACATTTGAAAGAACAAATATATAAAAGAAATTAACAATGGCCACCTAATAAAAAAAAATATGTGAACCACTAATAATGTTTCTCACCAAGGCATGACCAAAAGTTTAGTATACAGAGCTAATTTCATGCATATGATTAGGTGAAAACACGTAGAGAGATATTTTTGGTATATAGAGCTATTACATGTAAATTTTTTAATTCTCTTTTTTTAATTTGCTTTTAATTTTTTTTTTAATTCTATACATTTGACTTAAACATTTTCTAGCTGTGTTGATATGAGGCCAATTATAATTGTTTTTCTAAATTCAATAATTTTGCTCCAATATATAAAATTTATGTGTAGCGATGCTCCAATATATAGAATTGTTTAGTTTCTCTCTAATAGATAGTGTTCTTCTTTTCTACCGTGTTTATTTTTTCTTTTAATTCTCTCTTGTAATTTTTTATTTATAATTTTTGTTATATATATTTTTAACTTTTAAATCTCTGTTTTTTTTTTTTTTTTTTTTTTTTTTTTTTACGAAACATATTTCTTTATAATATTTTCATGCCCTGATCAGTCCCAACTCTCCCTCTTCCTCACGCCTTAATCTCTCAGTCACCAGGCAGTCCGCTGTCAAGAAAGGAAGGCATTGCAAGTCCATCCAGTGTTTCCCACATTTGCGAGCTCACACCGTCACAATTCCGTTGCTGACAGTCACTGAGACGGTAATTTTTTAAAAATAATTTGTGGGCTGTTACTTGTTCTTGTTTAGTTGTTGTAATTTATTGGTTGTTCGCGTAGAGAAGCAAAATTTTAGCAACTTATTTATGTTGTTGATTTTTTTAGTGTATTTGAGTTTTGTGTTCATGTGAAGGAGTTGTAAGATGCATTTGTATGTTACATGTTGTTGATTTTAACTATCATTTATTTTTTTAAAATACGAGTGAGTTTATATCATCTGGCTAATTGCTTGATCTATGTGAGTTATATGTAAGTTGATAACAGGCTTTATTACTTTGTACTTATCTCGTTGTTCATTAAGAATATGGTATGCTTCTTCACATTTACATTTGTCTCTGACGTTTTGGGGATTATACATAGCAGGATCATGGAATCTTTTCCATTTCATTATGAGTTTGGAATTCTAAATTGATTACCTTTTCAGCATAAACTTAAGAATTTTGTTTAAAAAATTTAGGCAGGATTACTTTGTAACCTGTTAACACACCGTTTTGGTATAATTCTGATCACATTTCCCCCCTCCCCTACAGCACCTATGAGTAGCACTAGACAGCGTCCTCTTGGTGGTGGGGCTCATCATATATTGGACTATTTGAAGCGCATGCAGGCAGAGAATCCTGCTTTCTTTTATGCAGTACAGGATGACAATGATCTCTCATGTGGGAATATATTTTGGGCTGATGCAACATCTAGAACAAACTACTCTTATTTTGGAGATGCTGTTATATTTGACACAACCTACAAGACTAACCGATACCGGGTGCCATTTGCCTCTTTCACTGGGTTTAATCATCATGGGCAGCATGTGTTATTTGGTTGTGCATTGATTCTCAATGAATATGAGTCGTCATTTATATGGCTATTCAAGACTTGGCTTCATGCCATGTCTGGCCGCCACCCTGTCTCCATTACAACAGATTTAGACCCTTTCTTACAAGTGGCTATTGCCCAAGTTCTTCCTTCAACTCGCCATCGGTTTTGTAAATGGAGCATATTCAGAGAAACTCGAGCCAAACTATCTCATTTATGTCAGTCACATCCTGCTTTTGAAACTGAATTTAAGAAATGTGTTCATGAGAGTGAGACTATTGATGATTTTGAGTCTTATTGGCACTCATTCTTGGAAAGATTCTATGTCATGGATAATGAATGGCTTCAGTCAATGTATAATGCACGACAACATTGGGTTCCTGTCTTCTTGCGGGACACTTTCTTTGGGGAGATATCTTTAAATGAGGGAAATGAATATCTGAATTTTTATTTTGATGGATATGTGAATTCATCCACCACTCTACAGGTATTGATTAGACAATATGAGAAAGCTGTATCAAGTTGGCATGAAAGAGAATTAAAAGCAGATTATGACACTACTAATAGTAGTCCAGCTTTAAAAACACCATCTCCTATGGAAAAACAAGCTGCGAGTCTATATACAAGAAAGATATTCATGAAATTCCAAGAGGAGTTAGTAGAGACTCTTGCCAATCCTGCTACAAAAATTGATGAATCAGGAACTATTACTACATATCGAGTTGCCAAATTTGGGGAAAACCAGAAATCTCATGTTGTCACTTTTAATTCTTTTGAGATGAAAGCTAGTTGCAGCTGTCAGATGTTTGAATATTCAGGAATTATTTGTAGGCATATCTTGACTGTCTTCAGAGCTAAAAATGTTCTCACTCTTCCACCTCAGTATGTTTTGAAACGCTGGACAAGGAATGCCAAAACTGGTACTTTGTTAGATGAACATGCATCTGAATTGCCAAGTAGTACTCGTGAGTCTGTAACAGTTCGTTATAACAATTTGCGTCAAGAAGCAATTAAATATGTTGAAGAAGGTGCAAAATCAATCCAAATCTACCATGTTGCCATGAGAGCTTTGCAAGAAGCTTCTAAGAAGGTTTGCACTGTAAAAAATCAGAGTACTGGAACAGCAGAGGGAGCTACAGTAACCAATGGAAGCAAGGGTGAATTGCTTGCAGCAGATGCGGATGTTCCAAGCTATCAATCTGTGGTTAGTTTCTTTGAACTTATGATCTTTTTCTTAGATCATAAACCTATCATTAGGGTCTCACCAGAACAATTATGTATTCTAAGTCCTTTTTTGATGAATTCTACAATGAGTTGCATCCAATGAACTATACTTTTACTGCACATGTTTTTGTTTGAAGCAAATAAAAAATAAATTTAAGGGAGGGGGAAGTGGGCAGTTTTTTCCCCATGTACAACCCCCAAGCTGGCACTTGAGATTTCATGCTTGTTTTCTTGGTAATCATTTTCAATGTGGTAAGTAAATAACATTTGTGTTTGATCTTTTGCAAAGTGCTATCACCAACCTTAAACTTGTCTTAATTAATCCTTAAAATTTACAGTGTACCAATGAGGATTGCTAGCAAAGTATTTCTCTAATATTTTCCTTTTTAACAATCTTACTGGTTAAACATGTGAGTTCTACTAGTTTGCGAATGAGACCTACCAAATGGGTAATTTAATTCACATATTTAATGGGGCACACATGAATTTCACCTAATTAGAGTGTCAGGGAGATAATATTAGTGTGTTGCTTGTATTTCTCATGTACCAATAAATCCTTTTGTTCTGTGTTGATCCTTTAACTCATTAAGTGGTGTGCTTGCCTTGTGTGAACACTTGATGACAACTCATAAGACTATCCATCCATCTCGCTAAACCCTCACAATCCATTTTTTTCTGTTTTATTTATTTTTTAATAAATATTCATAAATCAGAAAAGCACACATTTATCTTTTAAACAAAAATCCAAGTAAATTATGAAATCTAAAATTTTCTCGAGAACTAGGAAGCTTGAATGATGGGGAGGCAAAAATGAGTGGTGGCTGTGATGATCAAATCTCTAGAACGAGTGAGTTTGTCCATTTTGGTTGGGGAGTTCTGCTGTGGTGCATGCATAGTCTTAATCTGGTTGCAACTTGGTTTTAAGATATGTTTTGGCTAGTGACGGTGGGTGGTGGTGATGGTGAGCACTTGTTTAGGATTATATATTTCTCTCTCTGTCTTCTTCTCTCATTTATTTTCGCAGAAGATTGTTGTGGTGCATGGTTGCTGTTTGAGTAATGATGGGGTTTGGTTTTGTTGGCATGGTAGTTTGACTCCATACCACTGACTATTTTTTTCAATTGTTGACGTAAAACCTTACTTAAACTTCAAATAGGATCAGACTGTGAGAGTCTAAGATTTGAGTAAACTGAAAATGTTTTTCATTTATTTCACTGAAGTATAAATATTTGTATTTATACAGATTGCAGTAGCTTGTGCAGAAAGCTTAGCTTAGGCTACAGCTATTCTAAATAACTGACAGCTTAGCATGACCGACTGCAGTTAGTTAGTTACACCAAATAAAAGACTGAGTGCTAAGCTATACAGTAGATTCCGATTGTAAAGCTAACATATACACTATCAACAAGATTTTTTAACAAATGAATGGATTAAATGCGACGCAGCTCTTCCCTTATTGAGTTAAATGGCAGCTAAACAGAAGGGTCTATTGTAATATTTTGTTAAGTTAATAGATTGAGACGAATTTAATGGCACTGAGGTCATTTTTCCCAAGGGGCAAAGCTTTGGGAGACTGATTGTAATTTTCCCTTAAAAATTGATTTTAGGGGAAATTGCACTCACCTCCCCTGAAGTTTATTTAAATTCATTAGTTAAAGTGAGAAAAAGAGAAAAAATAAAAGGCAATTCATATTTTGTCAATTATATATGCGTCTATTTTTTGTTTGAGTTACATACAATGTTGTTTTTTTGTGAAATTTTTATTATTCTTCAATTTTGAAAACAATAACTTTTCCGTCTGTTTTTTTGAAATTATTCTTTAAAGTTGGTATATTTAAGATATAATTTTAGAGTTAAAATTGAGTAAGAGATCAAGTCTCATTTAATTATTAACATTTGTATTAATAATTTGTTTTTTCTTAATAGCTTACAAATAGTATTATCTTATATCAGAGGTTATATGTGTCACTTAGATAAATAAATAAATAAGGGAGGTTAGTGTTCACTTAAAAATTAGAAGGGAGGTGTGTCATTTATAAAGACCTCAGTGGAGGTCAGTGCAATTTTTCTTTGATTTTATGTAAAGAATCCGTATTGCGTATGTTTTGGTTATAATATGTTTATCGGTCTGTGATGGACCTGTAACATTTATTTTATGACTATGGTGATCTTCATTTTTCATTCCCTCTTAATATTTGAAGAAATTGAAATTGCTTTGCCAGTAGGTTTAAATTGAACCGCTTAAAATTGAGCCTGTTGTCATAGACTTGGGTTTCGCATGGAACATGGTCTTGATGCTACCTTGTATCTGTGCTTATCTTGTTAAGCTTTTAACATTATGCTATAAATAAAAAGTTTAATTTTTATTAATTATTTAGTAGAATTATGATACAGAATTTGTGTGTTTGCCTTGCTGTACTCATAGTAAGAACTAATAACCTCTTCTTATATGTGGCCCCTATTTTTTGTTGATGCACATGGTATTAAAAATTTCCCTTAGGATCCTATGCAACAGGCGGAGAAGCAAAAGAAAATCCAAGAGTTGACTGCTGAGTTAGAGGCCACAAATCAACGATGCGAAGTTTATAGAGCAAACTTGCTGGCTGTGCTAAAGGATATGGAAGAACAGAAGTTAAAGCTATCAGTAAAGGTCCAAAATGCAAGACTTAGTTTGAAAGAGTGAGTGCACTAAATGCAAAGGGTATAAGGTATGCCTATCTGTCCATTTTGAATCCTCTTAGGGTTTGTTAATATCCTTTGCTCATGGTCTGAGTTATAATGACTATGCTTGTTTTCTGATCCTGTAATCTGGTTAAGCGTATGTTTGGTTGGAAGGAAAGAAAATAGAGGGAAAAGAAATCACACATAATAATGTATTTTCTGTTGTTTGGTTTGAGAGAAAGTAGAAAGAAAAATGAAAAAAAAAAATTGACTTCAAAAATCAAAAATTCAAAATTTTCTCTCACTTTCCTTCTGATTTAAATTTTTAAAATTTCTCTCCACCCTCTTCCCTTGTTCCAAACACGGTAAATATTAGAATTTCTTGATAATCTACTGATTAAAACAATTTGTATTATTGATTTTTCAGGCCAGCTAACAATGTATGGAAGAGAAAATAGGGATCTTCATATAAATGTGTTGGTTTTATTCTCTTCTTAAGTTGCTATATATTAGTTCTGTATAGGGTTTCCTGATCTTTACTGCGCGGGATGTGTATATATTGTCCTGTTGTTTGGTGAAGTATCAAGTTTTTTATTAAGTAGAAAAATTCACCATGTATGGCAGGTTGATTTGTTTGGATTGTTTAATGCAGAGGGAAAATCAATTATCCCATTATTGTAGATTGAAATTGGTGATTTTACTTATAAGAAGAAAGTTCACCTCATGATTTCATTAAATTAAAAAAATAATGTATGTATGTAAACAGACAATAATCATGCCTTCTTAAACAACGTATGTTGATTTTTAAATTATATAACTTGAAATCATTTAGTTAATTTATATCTCAATATCGTGATTTGTATTTCGTGTTATGATATAATATGCATTGGTTTCTTTAAATGTGAAAAAAAAACTAGTTTAAATATGTAAAAAATAAAATAGCAAAAGATAGAAAGAAAATATAAAAGAGGATTGGATTGTGTTTTGGAATCTCTTAAAATTTTCTAAAACATACCAGAAACCTTTGAAAACAGTTAAACAACAAAGAAGTTTTTGCAAATAGACGATCTTAAAGGTTAAGGCAATGTAAGAACAACTTGGTTTTTAAATTGTTTTTCCAGGAAAAAAAAACTTGCTCACAATCCATTCCACCTCTTCGGATAATATAAACAAGCAAAAAGAGAAGCGATGAAGAGATAACACACTATGTTTATCTTGCATCTAACAATCTTAAGTTATGTATTCTACATTTCCACCAAGACAGAATAATTGTTTATAATGAAATTATTTCTCACAACCAAGTATTGTTTTACAAGTTAGGATTGTCAGCTTACACTATTTTGACCATATTACTAATCGATGTGGGATTTTCAACTAAGTGAAAAGAGTTGGATACTTCATACTTGGAATCTGAATGTGTTAGATATGTAACCGATGTTTTTAGTGTTGATTTCTTGGTAGTTGCAGTTAATCAGCCTTTGCCTAATATTCTGTTTTGTAAGGAGAGGATCTTTCACCTTACATTATTTTGGTCATATCATCGGTCTATTTTGAAAGAGAGGCTATGTATCTGGAAAAAAGTTCTCAATTGGATGCAAAATTGTTATGTGGTTGCATGGAATACAATTATGGCGGGAAAAGCTCAAAAAGGGTACATTGAGGGAGTTGTAGATCAATATTGTATGATGAAAATGGCAGGTCTTAGATTAGTTGTAAGTTGGGTATAGTGAAGAATCGGGTTCACCAATTCCATATGGGGGGTGAATGCCACACACAACATGTGGAGATCAATCAGTATTTGGAAGAAGAATTAACTTCAGAAATTAAGAATTAATGATATGTGCGCGATACTAGCTCTATTTTGCATGACAGGGATAACGAGGAAAAAGAAGACTCATCGAGGCACCATAGTGAGAAATTGGCAATTGCTTTCACTTTAATGAGCATCCCAAAGAGAGTGCCAATAAAATGTCATATTATTATGAGTTAATCACCTACACAATATCAGTGTAAAGTTTTTTTATACTGACAATTAATTATCTTTTTTAATTGTGTCATGTTACTGTTAAAAATAAATGTAAAATAAATGTGTTTACAGTGACATGACACAATTAAAAGATATAATTGGTTGTCAGTGTAAAAAAGCTTTACACTGACAATATATATGTGATTAACTCTATTATTATTAGGGGTGTAAGTAGTTACTTATAATTCATGAATTAAAGTAGTTCAAATTCTAAACCTTAAACCTTAAACCAACTCAAGTGAATTTAGATTGATTTTTTTTAACGTTTGGATTAGATCCTATCTAATTCGATCAAAATCCAACAATAGGTATGCATTTTGTGATTCGTTACCCAATTCAACCTTGTCATATATAATAAAAAATAAGAAAATAACATTAAATGATAATACTAAAAATAACAAGTTAGTATTTGGATAATCACTTGCTCAAAGCAACTATGTAACTTTTACTCAATAGCAAATTTTGTATTTTCAAATTGATAGCATTGTAACAATACATTTATTTTAAAATTTAGCTAATAATAATATAACAAAATTATTTTTGAATTTAATTTGTATTATTATTTGTTTTATGAGCTGATAACATTGTATTTATAATAAGATATCAAATGATTTACATCTATTATGAAATATTTAAATTTTTATCAAAAAAATAAACAAATCTAATTATGTTGACCCAATTAACTCAATTCAATCAAACTCATTTGTGATTGGATTGTGTCAGGCTGGACTTCAAAAAAGCAAAAATATAAATTTGATCCAACTCAATCATTTCAAAAATGATTCATGTTCTAGTAACGATTAGTGGTTATAGTTATTCCTCGATTTCCATTTTATAAGTTGTTCATGATCCTGTAGAGCTTACATGTAAGGGAGACTAAGTTCTTGCAACAACTTTGATATCATATTAAGTAATTGTCCAATTTTTAAGTTATCCTTGACTCTTTTGGCTTTCAAGAGCTGGTGGACAAAATTTATGTGATAATTTATTTGATCACTATTAATTTCATTTTACTCCATTGCAATATAGAAATTTAACTACACAAGTACCCAGTGACGGATCCAGAAATTTTAAATAGTGGGGGTAATATTAATACATAAATTTATAGTATTAAATATATAATTTTACATTTTTTTTGAAATATAAATATACATTAAATTATTTTCTATGAGATTTTATATTTTAAAAACATTGAATGATTTTCTCATTTTTAACACTTTCAAAAATATCTCTTTCTATATCTCGTATCAAAATTTTAACCTTTTTTCATTTTAAAAATAGTATAATATGAATTTAGATCAATTATCACTCCTTAATCCATTTACTGGCTTGATTTAACTATAACTAGTACTCCCTTTATTTTATAATAAGTATCGTTTTAGGTTGTTTCATACAAACTAGAAATAAAAAACTTATAATTAATCTTCTTTAATATAAATAATACAATACAATATTCACTTTCTAAAAAATATTATGAAGGGTATAAATGAAAAATAAAAGATAATTAATATTATATTGAAAAACTAACATGACACTTATTTTAAGATTTATTTTTTTCAAAAACTTAATATATTAACTTTGACTTTTTTAACAAAATAAAAATATAGAAATGAGTGAGAGCACTTAGTTTTTAACATGACAAGTGTGAGTACATTATTATAAATTTATAATAGACTTAAATACGTTTTTAATATCTCAAATTTAAGGTAAATTTGTCTTTAGTCCCTCAAATTAAAAATTGGTCTTTTTAATTCTTGTAAATTTTAGAAAATCTTGTTTCAATTTTTATACTCAAATTTTGTTAGGGAATCTATCAAATATTGTTGTCTAAAATCTATCTATTGATATCTTTATCCATAAAAACATCATATCAAATCTAATTGAAACTACATTACTATTTTCATATGTCATTTTTATATATGTTATTGATGACTTGAGAGACTAAAATAAAATTTTTAAAAAATTATAGAAATTAAAAACAATAATTTTACAATTAAGAGAGTAAAAACACATTTAAATCTTAATATATATATATATATATATATATATATATATATATATAAATTAATAATATATAGAAAAAATCCAACCGTTAGATTGAAAGTTCATATCTCTTAGATCATATATATCAAATTTTACATTAATCTAAGATGATTTGATACTTCATTCTTATAAAACAAAATTGACGTAATATATACATTTCAAAATATACTAAAATATGAACACTTTGATTACCTTCAAGTTGTTGTTCAATTTTAACAAAATTTGACATATATGATCTAAGAGATATGAACTTTCAATCTAACGGTTGGATTTTCAAAATTTACATTTAATATAAAGTTATTGAGCGGTGTAACACTTAGTAAAAGTTACACCGATGTCGTTTGAACCCTCCTATATATATATATATTTAAATTAATAAAATATAGAAAAATGTTAGTGGGGGCAAGTGCCCCCACTAGGATACATGTGTATCCGTCCTTGCAAGTACCCATAACTCCCTTGGTTCACGAATATCACATGAATATATGATAGATATAACATATACCGGCGAGTGTTATATAGAGGATAAAAGCTTTAGTGACCCCAAATAAAACTCAACCTCCTAATCCTAATACAAGTTTTTACTTGTCATTAGGGATGACAAATATACTCGTACCTGCGGGTAATACACGAACCTATCCCGACTTTGATGGGGAATACCTGGTTTGACCGGGTACGGGTACGGGTAAAACCCGATACTTTAAATCGGGTACGGGTACGGGTACGGGTATGTATTAACCGCCCCGTACTCATACACGTACCCGTTCCCATTCCTATTTTTAATTTAATATCCACTTTCAATTTAATTATATTAAAGAATTTTAATATTTTTTATATGTGATTATTTATTATAATATGAGATAGAGAAATAACTTAATTATAATTATAATATAATAAATAAAAAATTTAAAAATATCATATTTTTTTATAAAAAATAAAAATAAAAAATTTGACGGGTACGGGTATACCCGATACTCGACGGGGACAGGGATGGGGATGAAAATCACATACCCGACAGGTACAGGGATGAGTTTGACTCGTGGGGACGGGGACGAGTATCATGAATCACATACCTGACCCGTCCCGTTGCCATCCCTACTTGTCATTTACGAATAACTAAAAAAACCCGCAAATTATATTAAAGTTTATTCTTAAAATAACCAAGATATTTATTTCATCAAACTTATTACATGTTTTAAATTCCAATTTGAAACCGCAAATGCATAAAAGCTACACTTTCATGCAATTGTAAGTGATGACAAAGCATCCACAAACTAACAACACAATTTGAAATAATCATAACATACATAACTTAAAACAAGAACTCCATAACCTTGACTCTAACCACAACTTGAAAAGTTTTAAATATTTGTTGCAGTTTTAATAATCAAAATTGCAAAAAAAAAAAAAAAGTGACAGCAAATAAGGCTACTACATTGAAACTAATAAAATCCGACATTTAAAAATTAAAAAAAAAAAATCCAATAATGACCAATTTTTCAACCTCGTGAGAAAAAAAATGTACCTGAAGGAGTTTCGGGACAAAATTTTGATTGAGGAGCCTCTTTGTTGGCTATCAACGATGATGGCAAGTAGATTGGGGTGATCTTTCTTTTTTGCAATGCCTCAGGCTTTCTGGATTTGATTAGCCTCCACATCGTGAACAATAACAACAACAAAAAAATGTGAAGAATTATGATGTGAGGTGAGTTTGCCTTCATTACTTTTATAAGGAATGGAATG